ATTAACCAATCAGAGCAACACATTTGACATACAGAACATCCCACAGCAGTCTGTTGAACATCTTCTTAATTAGTGACCAATGGGGGAGGGTCTGGTGCACTGTGAGTGCGGCCAACCCTGGCTGCTTGTCCTGAGTTCCATAAGAAAGCAAACCAGAAAGCACCAGTTCCTGCCCTGTTTTGAGTTCCTGTCCTGACTTCCTTCAGATGAACAGCGACATGGAAGGAAGTGTAAGGCAAATAAACCCTTTCCTCTCCAACTTGCTTTTCAGTCATGGTGCTTCAGTGCAGCAATAGTAACCCTAACTAAGACAATGGTATACCTTAATGACAAGGGGAAAAAAATGTAGGAAAAAGAAAAGGAAGGATTAATAATTGCATGGTGAGAATTCTTCTTGACCTCGCAGAAAATAGTGGGAGAACCATCGAAAACACAAATGACAGGTAGGAACACAAACTACTTATACCTGAACTAACTCATCACAACATAGCGCCTTTATTGTTTAGGGGCTATAAAGTATTAAAAGTTCCTCTGATTGTTTAAGGATCAAAATCACTAACATACCTTACACCATCCATTGGATTCAATGAATTTCCTACTCCAGGATGTGTTGAGATATCAAGGACAGGAATTTTGGTAAAGGATGATGACTTGAGATCAATTGGGAAAACATGTTCAAACTTTAATCCACAAATGGATTCAACCTTAATGAAATGGGAAATGGGGAGACATATAGCTCCTAATTACATACTTGTTACATATTCGTTTTACTATTGAACATATCACAAAACCAGTGCATGCGTGGATATGTGCAGAATGGATTTCCTACATCATTCTGGTTAATGATGTCATAATACAGGCAAACACCTATGCATGATTTTGCAAAAATTTCACTGAAGTATTCTATATGTAAAATATGTAAAATTACAGATAATGACATTTAAGTTCAAGCATACTGAATCAAGACAATATTCAAATATCATATAATACTTGAAATGTTACTACTTCATATCCTCTTCAACTTAATTTCTTTGAAAACAAAGAGGTAAACACATGCAAACCACAGCAGCATCTACAACAGTAAGAAAGTTCATATGTTTTCAAAATAATTACCAAGAAAACTGTCTTATATTTATATCTTTTCTGGCCAGAGAAATTATGCTAACAGCAGGCTAGCAAGAATCATCCCTAATTCTCATGAACATGATTCTAGCTGCAGTGTAGGCAGGGCCTTAAATACATTTCTCACTACTGCATCTATTTTTAATTTCCAATTCAACATGGAATTCTTAACTCACTGGCTCTAAGTTGGAGGCTATTTGCAAAGTCTTAGGTGAAACACTAAGCCTTTACTGAGTGCTTCCATTTTAACATTTCCCCAGCAATAACAAAAAATAGATCTCTTAAAAATCTGCTGAGTTTTCCTTCCTCAATATCCAAAATAAGTAGGTTAGCACACCAACTAGTTACTCAGTTAACCAGTGAATATCAGTGAGGTGTGGTTAAACAAAAGGCATGAAGTCAGTTACCTGTAGTGTGAGAGGGTGACACAAAGTAGAACCAATTCAGAACAGCAAACATTTCTTAACAGTATTTAGGACATTTTTATTCTTGTTTTTGCTTTCTAAGACAAATAATGCTTTGGTCTTATCATTCCTGGTAAGATTTCATGTCTGGGTATGAAAAATGCTCTTGTTATAAAGGAAGGCATCATCACTTGGAATTGTGCAGGCCAGTTCCAGGTGTGTTGTCACTCGGCACAAGTTTGAACATAATGAATAAAATCTACATGTTCAAATACACAAGCAAGGCACACTTTCTTCTAAAGTTCCTAACGGATGCATTTAAATAAATCTTTCTATAGGCCGGTATGGGTACGAAATCCAAATTAACTCCATTGTTCCCACATATCCTCAGTACAAGAAACAGCCTCCTTTAAGGGAGGAATTTCTCACAAATGTTCTTCCACAAACTAGATGATGGGACCATTTCCAATCTGGAGAAGCCAGAAAGCAACAAATAAAGAAATTCTTTGAGAGATTTTTTTTTTTTTTGAGACAGGGTTATACTATGTATTCTTGGCTGACCTTGAACTTAGAATGTACTTCAGGCTGGCTTTGTTCAAGATCTTCCTCTCTGGGCCTCCCAAGTGACTATGGGCATTAAGTCAGCATACTCAGCACGCTCAACTGTGCCTTTGCTTTTTAAAATGCCCATGGCAAACTATGATATGATGCTGAAAGAATACAATTACTTTGGGGGTACAGGTGGCTTGTTACAGGCTGGAAGGGCCCTGAGGGAGCCATTTACTGTGCCTGGTTATAGTAGTTGCATGAACATGAACATGTCTTCTAGCTGCAAACCTACAGTTAGCATCTTTTAATATGGTTATGATACATACTTCAAGCAAGTATGGATACTTCCATGCATATGAGAGTGTGAATTTATGTCTGTGTGAATATACATGTAATGGAATTCCCATAGATCTAGTGTCCTGGTTTCTTCTCCATTGCTGTGATAAACATCATGACCAAAAGCAACTTGGAGAGAAAAGGGTTCACTGCATCTTACCGGTCCCAATAACAGTTAATCACTGGGGGAGGCCCCAGTGGAAACTCAAGCAAGGCAGGAATCTGGAGGCAGGAACTAAAGCTGCGACCATGGAAGAATGTTGCTTACTAGCTTGCTCTCCACGGCTTGCTCAGCTTGCTTTTTTCATACAACTCAGGGCTATCTGCCACCTTCCCATATCAGTCAGAAAGCCCTCCAGACTTGCCTCCCTGCCAATCTTAGGGAGGCATTTTCTTAGCTCTTCCCAGGTGACCCAAGTTTGTATCAAATACACAAAATTAACCAACACATCTAGCAATCTCACTTCTGGTATATATCTGAAGAAACTCAAATCAGCATGTCCATACCTGTGTCTTCATCTCATCGTTACTCATAATTTGTAATAGACATCATTATCTGACAACAGATGAATGACAGGGTCAGGAAAATGTGTCATATACACTGAGGAGAACACAATACAGCCTTACCCCCCACCCCCCAAACACTTCATTTGTGACAAAATGAATTCAACATTAAGTTCAATACATTGAACAGGGAAGGAAAAACACTGTGATACTACTTTTATGTGGAATCTGAAAATATGATCTCCAAGTAACAGGGCAAAAAATTGGTCTGGGAAAAGAGGGGTGTGGAACCATTGACCAAAAGGTTCTGTATCACATACTGTCCTTGTTGCTATGATCAAATATCTGACAAGAAGTAATTTAAAGGAGGAATAGATTAACTGGATAACATCTGAGGAATATGATGATTTGAATAAGAATTGCCAACCAGCTCCCAAATCAAGGCACAGAGACTTAATATTTGTTATGAATGCTTGGCCTTAGCTTATGCTTGTACCACTAGCTACTATAACTTAATTTAACCTGTTTCTCTTTATCTATGTTTTGCCTCAGGGCTTTTTACCTTTCATTCTGTATGGCCTACTCTGTGTCTGGCTGGCTGGTGGCTGCCTGGCTGGCAGGCCCCAGGCATTTCCCTCTTTTTCTCCCTCTTTCTCTCTTTGGAGCCTAGATTTTTACTCCTACTTATTCTCTCTGCCTGTCATCTCTGCTTATCCCTCCTCTGCCTAGCTGTTGGTCATTCAGCTTTTTATTAGACCGATCAGGTGCCTCAGGCAGGCAACATAAAACAGCAACACATCTTTATGTAATTAAACAAATGCAGCACAAACAAATGTAACATATCTTTACATAGTTAAGGTAATATTCCACAACAAGAATGACCTCCATAGGCTTATATATTTGAATTCTTAGTCACCAGGGAGTGGCACTATTTGAGAAGGATTAGAAGGTGTAGCCTTGTTGGAGGAAGTGTGTCACGGGGGATGGTTTGAGATTTCAAAAGCCTATGCCAGGCCCAGTTTCTCTCTGTCTCTGTCTTTCTGTCTCTTTCTTCCTCCAAATCAGAATATAGCTCTCAACTACTTCTCCAGCATCATGCCTGCCTGCATGCCACCATGCTCCCTGCCATGATGGCAATAGACTAATCCTCTGATAAAACAAGCCCCCAGCTAAATGCTTTCCTTTATAAGAGCTGCCTTGGTCATGGTATCTTTTCACAGCAGTAGAACAATGACTAAAGGTCACAGTCCATCATGGTGGGGAGGCATGGTGGCTGGTCACATTGTATCATCAGACAGAAAGCAGAGAGAGCTGAGTACTGGTTCTCAGTTCATTTTCTCCTTTTTGTAAGTCTGAGATTTTAGATCATGGGGTAGTTCTTCCCATACTCAGGATAAATCTTCCCTCTTCTTTTAAACCTTACTCAAAAGACCCTTACAGACATATTCAGAGATGTGTTTCCATGGCGATTCTAAATCCAATCAAATTGATGAAGATTAACCACCACAAGTTCCAAGTTTCAGTTGGAGAAATAGGTTGAAATGATCTGTTGTCTGGATAGTGACTACCATTAGTAATATACACTGTATGCTTCAAAATTGCTAGAAGAATGAATGTTTAAAGCTCCTCCCATAAACTCACTGATAACTTGAAGTGACTAATATGTTAATAAGCTTGATTCAATCTTTTCCCAGTGTATGTACATACATAGAAGCATCACATTGCACATATATGTACATAAATAGTTTATACCAATAAAAATGCTTTACCTTTTCAATATCAGCCAAAAGATAAGGCATTTTAATGAAAATATAGGAAGTAGAGTTATAGGGATATACTATTCCAATTTTGTATCTGCTCTTGGGTTAGACTTGGGGAGAAAACACTTGCCTAGTGTATTTGAGGCCTGAGGTTTTTATCCATGATCCTGAAAAACAAAAGTCAACTCTTGTTTAATATCAACAAATAACATTCATTTGGCTAAAAGTCAATGTTATGTTTATATAGAAATTTATGATCCAATCATAAAGTGTTTTTTTTTTTCAAGTGAATTTTATTCTCTTCTTTGTTCAGATTTCATTTGGGCAAGAATTAGACATCTGATCTTCAGAGCATCAGTTCCGACACTGCCCACTCCTGTCCACCTTTCCTCTCCACACTCTTCTTGGTAAGAGAAAAATCACTCTGTTTTCCAAGTTGGGAGCAGCCATAAGTCTATTAACAGAAAGGACAGACCTGGAGTCAAACCTAGAACCATCTGCTAGGACTTAGAGTGTGTTCTGTACTGAGGGAGGAGCACCAGGACAACTCGGTCCTACGTATCTTTATGTATGGTGAATTTAGTGTTGTAGATTGGAGAGTTTTGTTTTCAGTGCAGAGAACAGAATAGGCGTCATGGTGAGAAAAGTAAATGAACAAACCTATGAAGAAGTTTTAGAGATGTCTGAGAAAAGAATCATCTTAAGCCCTCCTCTCTAATTATTTGTAGTTTAAAAAGCTCGGTGCCTCCTGTTTTGCTTACTCCTACCATTCTTTTTCCTATGTGTGTTTGTGTTGGGGCCACAGAGGTCCTTGTGCTCACAGATCAGCACCAGAGAAACCAGGAATGTGAAGCATGCAGAACTGTCTCTTCAAAGAAAGGGATGTATAACCTGTTTTCCACCCATATGGCTGGAAATGGATGTAATTAATAGCCCAGGGGACCTCTGCACTATCTGTAGAGCCAGGCCACACCTGCCCCCATGCCGAAACCCTTACTAATAGAACCAGAGGTGGTTAATAGCCTGGTGACCTTTGTGCTATCTGTATGACTGAAACCACACCAGATTGTCCCCCAGGCCCTCCAGATAATGCATGAAGTCTATTTATAGAACCCACCTTCATGTGCTTTGAAAAGAGTTTTGATATAATAATGCCTTAAGCTTTATTGTGCACATGGGATTATGCTACACCAGGAAACTTTTTCAAATTGTACTGTACTTAAATATGCCTAAAGTAAACTGACCAGGATCAGACTCTAGCAGTTTGAACCAACACCAGTTACTGAGTCATGTTGAGCTGGACTTCCTTCTCACCTCTGGGGGATCGTTACCTCTGCTGGCCACAGCATTTGCAGAGACCCCACCCCATTCATTTGAGCATTTGGTAGTCTCTGAAATGTGTTGAGCATATTTCACGAATTTAAAGATCTTTTACCCCAAATCAAAATAAAGTTTGCAATCTGAGAAATATAGTTCATGGCTATCACAGGAGAACTGCCATAATTATCATGCCAGGGCTAGTCATCTTATCTGAAGGAGTTCCGAAATAAAGCCTTCCTTCATGTATTTGGGACAGAGTTTACTCTATAGCCCAGGCTGGCCTAAATGAATGATCCTCCTGTCCATCCAAGAATGCATTCCTTAAAGAAGAGACAAAGATCTTTGTGTCTTGAAAACCCATGACCCCTGGAAACTAATACTGCTCCAGATCCTTACAAATGGAGCAAGGCTGGCCCAGCAGCTCCAGAGAAAGGCCAACTAACAGTGGTCATCTGCTTACCTCACCAGAGCTCGGAGGATTGGCTGCACCTTACCACACAGCTGGAAATGATGGCCAAAACCTTCACACATGGCGGGTGATGTTTGGAACTCCACATGCAGCTTGTGATTCACTGTCTATCACAAAGCTTTTGATGGCTGGCTGGACTCCAGCAGGCAGCTTGTGAGGTTGACCACCCTTTACCACTTTCAATCTTCTTCAGAAAGAAAGAGGCTTTGTTATTCACCACTTGCCGAGTGAAAAATGAAGAGTAAAAAACAAAGTCATCCTTTTGAGAAACCCCTGGAGGAATTCTGGCCCAGTAGTTACTTCTAATGTGGCTGTTCCTTACAGGTTCCTCTCTGGAGAGTTCTCGGTCGTTAAGTAACTGATCCTCTGCCCATGATTCTCAGGGAGAAACTGGTAAGGAAAAAAAAATGAAGGTGAGCTGAAAGACTTCCACAGCAATGACTTAATTATAATTTAATCAATAATTTACTGATCTGCAATAGTTTGTGGATACATACAGGCATGCACTGCATTTTGAATGAACACTCCAACCTGCCATTTTAGCTGCTTTCATCCTGAAATTATGGATGAAAAATAATCTCTGAATTAAGTACAAAGGTTAAGATAAGCATTTTTCAATGTTCTGCTGAACCTATTACTGTGTAACAAATTACTTCTAAAACTGAGAAGCTTAAAACAATAAAAATGAATTATGTTGGGTATGGTCAGGAATTCAGGATGACTTAGCTGAACAGTTCAGCTCAGTTTCTCATATGGTTACCATGTGATAGAGCTCTGATAATGCTTTATCTAAAGTTTACTTAGATGGTTGCAAATTAATGCTGCCGGAGGTGGGGGCTCCATTCTTTCCACAAGGACCCCTGGAGTTCCCTTAGTGTCCTCATGATACAACTAGACAACAGCTACTTTCCCCTAAGGAAAATAATATGATAGAAAAGAAAATGGAAACCTTTGAATGCTGGTCTGCCTTCTGTGCAGTGTCCTGTTGATTCTAGTGCTCAGTGATATTCAGTGTGAAAGCTCCCCAAACGGGGATGAATGACAAGAAAGGTATCAGAGAAGCTCACCTGGAGCCTGAGTACCACTGTATTCCCGGGTCTCTATTTACTCACATTCCTCCTTATCCCAGAACAGTTAGTTCATGGTCTTGTCATCAAAATCAGCTCCATGTGCCAATGAGACTCTACCAGTATAATTCCCCATATATGGCTCTTCAAGCTTTAGCTCTCCCTATCTAACAGCCTAGAGCTAACCTCTGTGCCCAGGCTCACAAGCATGCTCATCACACAATGGCAGTGCATGCACACATAGGGTAACTGCTATGGATATTCTCCTTTAAAATCGGGACACAAAGGGGGCCACATCTAGAGTACTTCTGAAAACCCTCCAGGCAAATGTTGGAACTGTAAATTCCCACATACACTGATTTTCAAATGAAGTCACATTCCCTTATGTCCACAATGTGCTGTTGGCACAGAGGCTAGATCTATTCATTGGGTAGTGTTGGAGAATGCATCTGCACATGGAAACACATGAGAATCTCTGTTTGATGGTTAGAAAGTCTTCCATTTTCAATGGTTTATGTTTTGTGTTAGTTAGATGGCAAATAGGTAAAATAACACTGTTTATGCATCACAACATCTGTTAAAGATCCTAACAGAAAGCGTATATAAGGTATGAGGTTCGTTCTTACAAAGCAGAATGTCTTCAGGGAGCAGCCATTTTATAGGGGCTTGTAGTTCTGCTTTCTACCTGTTAGTGAGGCACCTTCATCCAGATCAAAGACAGAACAATGATTTTTTTTAATTCATATTCGTCATCCAAGATAGTTCCAAGCTTAAATCCTTCAGCAGGAATTGAGGATTTACTAGTTATTAGACTTGTGGCCTTGGACAGGTTGTTTCCTCAGCCTCTTCTTCCTCTAATGGAGACACTGAAAGGATTAAATGTGATAATGGATGAGAAGCTTTGGTACACTCAGCCCAGAGTAAGTTCTGAAATTATTATCATTATCTAAAATTATGGGAATTATCTGATCATTTCACTGTTCTTTAGGGAAAGTTTTCCCATCTGTAAAATTAGAGGTTGCTCTTTATTTCTCAGGTTCCGCACAGCTCTTTAAACCTACAGTTTTCCAGCTGAGTTACCTGAGCAGCTCCCTTTTCACAGCAATCATTGCATTTGCCCAGCACTTGCAACTTCAAAATCTGTTCACAGCTATTATCTCTTTAGAGTCTCCTTGTTGTTCTGTGAAGCAAGAGTGCAAGGCAAGCAAGATCATCTTCATTTGAATAATAGGGAAATGAGATGATGAACAGTTATAACTTGCCCGAAGGAGCTGGTTGCAAAGTTAAAACTAGAGGAATAGGACTCTTAGGGGAAAACACGCACACACATACATACACACATACACGTATATATATACACACACATACAGACATAGACACAGACACACACCACACACATACACACACACACACACACACACACACACACACACACACACACACAGATGCCCCTTCTTCCAGGCAACATGACCTGGCTTAGTATTCAATCTACTTTTTTTCAACTCAGAAAATACAAGAAGTAGTTTTTACAAAGTTCCCAGGGAAGGATAAAGACATTGTTTATAAATAAATAGTTTTGACCAAGACCGAACAGTAGACAGGAAGTAAAGTCTATCTCACCTGTCCACACCCATCTGAAAAGGAACACTCACTGTGCCCTCTGCAGGGCACACTCTGATGTCATAGCTATTGATACCTCACTGTTATAGCCGTGAGCTCTGCCTCACTTTTCAACAACAGGATGTGAGTAACTGTTTACTCCATTAGCTTCTTCTTTGGCCATGGTTTCCAATTTTAGCCAAGATTTCAAGAGAGTGGTTGGGCTATTTCCTCTCAGTAGTCCTACGTAGAAAACCCGTCCAGAGCGAATTCAGGATGCATATTTGCTTAGCTCAGGTTGCTCACTGAGGTATGGGAACCAGCACAAAGAGGCTGAGACACCTGCAACCCTATTCTGTAGCATTCCTCCCACGAATGACAATCCTGCTCTGCAAAGGGCGCAAAGCCAAAATGGTCACATATTGGCTTTTCACTGATGGGAATATCTGTCCACATCCCAGTTTCAGCATGGCAAAGATTTCCTTAAACAAGTGGCACCAGCTCAATTAGCCTTTCTTTTTTTTTTTTTTTTTTTTTTTTTTGGTTTTTCGAGACAGGGTTTCTCTGTGTAGCTTTGCGCCTTTCCTGGATCTCACGCTGTAGACCAGGCTGGCCTCGAACTCACAGAGATCCGCCTGCCTCTGCCTCCCGAGTGCTGGGATTAAAGGTGTGCGCCACCACCGCCCGGCTCAATTAGCCTTTCTTTAGTCAAGGCACTTACTGTTATTTTAATTCCGGTCGATGATGGCTATCCCTGCTTTCAGTGTTTGCTGGGCATGGTCTGTGCTTATGGAATGATGGTGGATGATGAGACAGCTTTCTTTCTCATTTTAAAAATATGGCAAAGAACAAGTCATCGGGAAAACCCTGCTGGCTGGAAGAAGATGTACCAGACTCTAAATGACAATGTCAAACCCCAACTGTGCCTTTACCAAGTCACCTGCCCTTGCATTTTCATCTTAGGCTAAGGAAATTCTACTTATTTATAGAACACTGCAGGCATGCTTTTTGAACATTAGAGATGTTATATGTGTTTAAATAATAACTGTTGGCTGTGGCATAGTGCTCTTTTTGAGGAGCCTGTGTTGGGAAGTGACTTGTTGAGAGATAGGACATTTTAAAAAGCTTTTATTGAAGTGGCTTGATTAAAAATGTATTTCAGGTAATGCATGACTTTGGAAAACATTTCAGTCATATATATTAAAATTCTATTTTTACAAAGGTAGGCTTGGATAAAAACAACTCCTAAACACTGTGTATCTTAAAAAAAAATCTTAAATCAGTATTTCCTTAGGCACAACAGACACTGAATTCATATTGAGGTTAGAGTTTTCTTTCCTGAGGAAATGTTTGTACTGCTTAGTTATATATAAAAATTCTATTGTTGGAAACCAAAGAGACATGTGAATGGCAAGGTTTCTTTCACCTTGACTTTTAACCTTTTCCACGGGTCTCTACAGCAATGTCTGTGGAGGTGCTCCTCAGAGAAAGGCTGGGGAATATTCTACCACACCCGTAAAGAAGAACGGGGTGCCTCAGAATGAAGACTTCTCAAAAGGGTTGGATGTTTGGGCCAGTCTTCATTATCACATATTGCAAGAAGTAACTTTTAAATTTCACACCAGATTCCCTGCCTTGTCTGTGAAACTGAATAAGCATCTAGTTCATATTGTTCTTTACTATTTTATATAATTCCTATTACATGGTCTTTAGGGCCACAGAATTACAGAGATAAGTGTTTATAAAGTTGAATTACTTCACTAGGATGAGGAAAGAGAGACAGAGAGATGGGGAGGAAGGGGGAAGTAGGGGGAGGAAAAGGCAGAGAGAGAGAGAGTGTGTAGTAGAATATTATTTTAAGGTATGTTACTTTTGCTTATGTTGCGTTTGTTTAACTCTGTTAAGCTGTGTTACTGTGTCTGTCTAATATACCTGATGGTCTAATAAAGAACTGAATGGCCAATAACAGGGCAGTAGAAAGGATAGGCAGAGAGAATATATAGAGGAAGAAATCTGGGAGGAGATGAGGAAGGAGCCAGAGAAAGAGGAGGAGAACTCCAGGGGCCAGCCACCCAGCTACACAGGAAGCCACAGAGTAAGAAACAAAGAAAGTTACCCAGGAATAGAAAAGGAAAAGCCCAGAGGCAAAAGATAGACAGGGTGATTTGAAGTTAAGAAAAGCTGGCAAGAAACTAAGTCAAGTTAAGGCCAAGCATTCATAAAAAATAATAAGCTCCCATGTGTGAATTTATTTGGGAGCTGGGTGGAGCTCCCCCCACAAAAGAACCAAAAAAAAAAAAAAAAAAAAAAAAACCAACAACAAGAGAAAGAGAGACAGACAGACAGACAGACAGACAGAGACAGAGAAAGACAGAGAGAGGGAGAGAGAGATTACTCTCTGTCCAGATTAGGCCCTGATTATCCCGAAGACTGCAGCTCGGGACTAGCCTCCTCTGCCCTGTGGCATCACTGGTTAAATTCTAGAATCACAAAGCCGTTACCCATCTGAAGGGGTCAGACCTTGATCTCAGTATTGTTCAGGCTCAAGGTTTCCTTGAAAGCAGCACTAAGAGAGCTCTTCAATGTTCATCCTGTCCCATATGTGTTTTTTTCTACTACACGATAGCAGAGCTGTCTGTATCATAAGAGTTTAACGGAGCTATTGGACAGGATGAGATAAAATGATGATGGTTTTGTTTCTATTTTTACACTTGAGCAGCAATATAT